TGAACATAAACTAATTTACGTATTTTCCTGAATTATTCGATATGGATAGAATCACTAATCTCCTTCGATTATCTGAGTAGCGAAATAAGATAATTAATTGTTGAGTATAACGCGTTAATATTTTTAAACGGACAGACTGTCGAAATAATCCATCGCAGATAGTCATTACTAATTATCTCGAGAGCAATTAATTATCCAGGATTTAGTGTCGCGATCCGGCCAACGGAAGTGCCGTCTGTCACGTGGGTGCACTCATGGACTCAAAAATCGCTTGCACGTGTAGAACATGGAGTGTGCACTTAGTGCACTTATAGAGGTGTCACTGTATATATATTAACCCGGATATAACGAATCCCTTGATATAGCAAAGAAAAGTGTCTGCACCGTCTCCTTCGTTATATTACAGGTTTACTGTGAGAGTTGGCGGAATCTTCCCCTTGAAGAGAAGAATTTCTGGCACGCCTTATATGAAATCGTTAAGATGCAGCTATAAATACCCGAATTACAAATATTACCTTCAGTGGCAAACAAACCAAAAAGGGCGTAGCATGATGATCATCGATAAATTAAACGCTCCAATAAAGACGACAAGGGAATAAGAATGGTCAAATGCATATCAGGGAAAATTTCCGTCACTAAGAAGATTTAAGGGTACGGATGGTATATGGATTTACTATGCGATATTTTGAGAATTTTTTGTCATGTATCATCTATTTATATATAATTGACACTAACTTAAGTGCCACGAACTTTTTAGTGTAGTTTACATAATTGCTGCGGCTTTCAGAAACGCAATTTCAAAAGACATCAAGAAATATAATTTTTCTCGTGTCATCCTCATGCGTTGCAATACGCGCGATCTGATTTGTTTGTCTACACAGTTTCTCTGCTGAAAATACAATGATAAACGTTATTAATAATAAACGTTTGGTATGTAATAATAATATTTAAATTTCATTTATTTTGGTTGGATATTTGTGGGATTATAAACCTATACATTCAATTCTTTCAAACATTGAACCAGTTTTGTGAGTCACTGTACATGCTGCGAATAATTTACGACTAACGAACAACGTACAAACAAACGACATACGGCATACGGAATTTAACTATCCACAGTCTACTGAACAATTACCTGAGAGGCCGAATATTTTTGATGACAGTAATAATAGGTGTACTTGTAAGGGCTCCGATATATCACGCAATGGGAATGTAAATAATGGAAATAAGCACAACACATTCGGACAGTTTGATAATCTTGATCCATTATTTGATTTTATTTTGTATGATGGTTATACGGAGTATGACATACTTTTTTATAACGTACTTTGCAAATATTATTATCGACATTCATTCATTCATTCATTACGTTGTTTATTCAGTATACACGTACAGTGTGTAAAGAAATTAATGGCAAAAAAATCGCGCAGACTTAAAATTGCGTAACCCTCCAAAAATAAACCAAATAACGTAAAATTGTTTTTGTTTTGATCACGAAAACACGCTCTTTATTTTCTATTAAATAGCACAATGTCCTTTAGGCGTTACATTTTTAACAAAATGACAAGCTCCATTTAAAGACCCAGCAAGAAACCATATTACATTTTTGGAACATAGGAGTCCGTTCAGCTAAAGATATTCACAAAGCAACACAGATTCCAATGCGTACTATTTATAACAACTTAAAAAAATTGGATAAATTTGGTAGTGTAGACCGCAAAAAAGGAGCTGGTCGACCTAAGAAAATCACTCCTAATGTTGCACGATATATCGGTCAGAAAATACGCCACGATTCTACAATTTCTTTGCGTTTCATGAAAAACTAAATTGGCTCGGGAAGGCGTACAGGTCTCACACTACGATTGCAGCACATTTGATAGCCCTCGGGTAATAAAAAGCTGCCAAAAGCCACCCCGATGTTAACTGAAGCTCACAAACAAAGGCGGGTGGAATGGACGAAAAGACATTTATATGACAATTGGAATAAGACTGTATTTACTGATAAAACAGCATTTCAGTTGTTTAGAAATACAGTTGAGAGATGGTATAAAGGTGAGCGGCCTGTACGACGAATTCCAAAAGATCGTACTAAAATCTTTGCGTGGGTGGTTTTTCGATAAAAGGCAAGACAAGCCTTTTTTGTTTTACAAATATAATGAATGCAGAGTTCTATGTAGGAATTCTAGAAAAACACATTCCAGAAATTAGGAGACTAATGGGTAGGTACTGGTGGCTTCAACAGGATAATGATCCTAAGTACACCAGTCGTCTTGCCCAGTCGTTTATTGAAAATGTTCCAAATCTTATGGACTGGCCAACAGTCCGGATTTAAATCCTATCGAAAATCTTTAAAAGAAACGTAGAAAAAAGGATGCCGCAAAATCGGCAAGATTTAAGTCGTTTTATGGTAGAGGAATGGAACGCTATTCCAAAAACTACGTTAATCAATTTTAGTACAGTCGATGAAGCACAGATGTGAGTTAGCTATTGAAAGCAATGGAGAAAGAATATCGTATTAAAATTTTGTTAATAAATCTACTGCATGTTAGCTATCGACTGAGATATTAATCATGTTGACTGCTATAATCGTTGTTGCACAGTGATCAAATATGTAATTGCCAATAATTTCTTTACACACTGTATTTTAACATTGATTAGTCTTATGGAAACTTTGGAATTAAATACGATTTTTTAATCAAACAGATGTATAGCATATACTCGACTAATGTAAAAAAAAAAAGAAGATTCATGTGAACATAGTGACGCTAATATATCCCCTACAATAAAGAATTGCGCCTATGAAGAAAAGTCGTACAAATGAGTGTCAATAATATTTAATTATTATTATTAAGCATTCACTTATTATTATTAAGTTATTCGTTAATTGATAAGCACATCCATCACGATCATGCACTGGGCAATGTCTCGAGATCGGAGTTCTAATTCGGAGTTACATTGTTATTATCGAGAAACGAGTCTTTGCACAAAGACGGCTTATTGATCTAAAGATTTGAATGGGAATATTGTATGATAAGATTGTGTATTTATTAATAATTGGGTAATTTTATTAACCAAAGCGCTTGTTGTTTCATAAATGTAGTGAATATATGCTGACAATGATACTACGCACTTAGGAAAGTTGCAATCATTTGAGATTGTTAAGTTAAAAACTTGTCAAAAGGGCAATGTACAATGATGATACAACTAGCCATTAGATTCCAATTAAAAAGTCTGATTTAAGACGAATGGACGCTGGAAGAGCAAGAATCTAGGAAAAGAGATGTATGGATAGAGGAAGGAGATTTTATCAAATTGCTAGCTCGCAAAGTATGGCTTAAGTAGCATTGTGACGGGTGTTGAGTTGGAAGCAAGGGAAGATATAGCAAATGGTGCGTTATAAAGGCAGTACTGGATTATAATGCGAAGGGTGGTTATGTATTAACGAAGTACTTTGATAAGTTAGGATTAGAAGAGATCGAAAATTTTGTCCAATATAGTAACAGAATTTGTAAATTGGCCACTCACGTGAATACATTCCACTATGTCAAGTAATACGCGTAGATTTTTTTTAAGCATAGGAAAATGGCGTAATCGCATTTTCCATGCTCAACTTTTAATCAAACAGTAGTCTCTCGACTTCCTACCTTTCATCTATGTTGCATATGCAATGTTTTTGTCTTTCTTCTTATAGTCCACTTTAACATATCATAAATCTTATAAGCTTAAGAACATTTAACGTTAAATTTTAATTTTAATATTAAATTCGTCGACTCTGTTAGTTTGTTAAATGTTGATTTACGGGATGAAATCACCATTGCCACGTTTGGTAAAAATTAAATACGGCCAACACGCCCATGAATTATCGATCTACGTGTACTTACTGTTATTAAAACATAGTGAGAAAACTAATATTAACGCTTGCACAATATCTGATCTTACATTGATGTAGATTCTGCCATTTTTATAACTTATTTTATTCTCACTTACCAAAAGATTGTCTTTACATCAACTTTTTATCGTATTACTCACCATACGCTCTATCTCTTTTTTCATTTGTAACACTTGTAATTCTGAGCAAATTTCATTTATTGATAATAATACATAGTCATTCGCTGTACGCACAAATTGTTATTTGCTTTTTTGTATTAATTCCCGGGCAAGTTGGAGGAATTTCTGCCTTTAATTATTGACTTCAGGCTTCCACCCACCGTTTCTGATGTGACTGGCATCAAGACCGCCTCGTATCCGAAAAGTTGGGAGGTAGCCTTCAAAGAGGCTTTCAATGACAAATTCATTTTGGCATAGCTTAAATGTATACAACTCCTCAGGCTCTAACGGAACATTGATATTGTAGTATTTGTTAAAGATAATAAGCATCTCCTCCTATGTCTGGACGTTGTGATACTTCCTCGGGATTGTTAGTCTACCCGATTTACTATAAAGTCCAGAAGGTAATATTCTTTTAATCCTTCTTCGGGTTTAAAATTTCGTCTAAACAGCACCTGTTCGATTTGTGAGGGAGCGAATGGTTCCACTCAAACATTAGCATTTTCTCACAACTACCACCACAGTCAGCCTCACCCGTAGTTGTATAACGATCTCTTCAAGCAGCAGGTAGTACTAAAATTTGGCACTCCTGAACGTTATTATTTATACAAATAAAGTAATGATGTGAGTAAGGTTCACGTTCTCATATATTGAATAATGCTGATCTGAACCGAGACTAACCGATCACTACACGATACTGCTAATTCCCTTTATCGTTAGCTCTTCTTTAAACGCGCCATCTAAACCCCGTTCCACAGTAATACACGGACCAACCATATCTACGTTTACGTTCTATGGATCACAAGGTAGAATGCTACTACAATGTCTTTCCTATTACGTGGATTCTCATTGCAAACATAACCGCTTCTTTTCCATAAATCTACTTGATTTTTTTTCTATAATAACCCTTAAGTTTCCAATGAAATAAGCGACTGATAATCTCGACGTCACAATCAGCCTTTTAATTTGTATCGCGATTGCCAAATTGAGTAACTGTGTTCTCTCAAAAATGATGGGATCGTCAATTTACCGTGTTCGCTCAAAATGGTGAGATCGTCAAAAGGTATCAGACTCTGTTCTTCGCATTAACATATACCAATATCGTTTATTAAGAAAGTCTTATATAATATACAAATTCAATATTGATACAATAAATCATAATATGAATAATAGCTTGTATTTGAAGTCTGTCCTTTTTTGGACTCTTCTTCAAATAAATCTAATTGTTCGTTGAGCTCTTCACATCCACGCAATGATGTAACGTTATCCGTATATGAATCATTGTCGTGAACATATTCAACAGTTGGCTGCTGTTCAGGTTCTAATGTCATGGTATGTTTCAAAGATTCATTCGACAATGCAGTCTCTGGCGTCGGAAGAGACAGTTGCGGTGCCAAGACGAAAGAGAAATCAGGAGATTCGACTTCTGGGCTAGCTTTGGAAGATTGTGAAGGGGAGACATTTGCTGGCATTGCGTTGATGTTTCCCGCACGTTTTTTACTGTAGGGTTTAAAAATTGTTTGTTTTTTTTTCGGTTTGGGCGTAAACTTGTAGCCCGGGTACATTTTTTTGAATCGTTTTTCTATCACAGCGGCCGCAAGTTCGTATAAAAGACGTTGGGAGGGTTCGAGGAGGTTCCATTCTTCCATCGCTTGTTTTACAAGCGTTTTCGCGCCTCCCCTTATATAGACATGATTTCCTTGGCTCTTCAGTTTTTTGCTATACTCCTTTAGATATATTAAGGCAGCATTTCTGGGTCTTCTGGGATCCCCATTTTTGTTTGGCTTAGTGTTGTATGCTAGCAACTCTTCTTTGGAGCAATAGGGATGAGCCTTCCCATATTCTTCGTCAAACTTCTTCATTAAGTCGTCATCGAATATCGCCATCGTAATCGGTGCTTTGATTTCGGTTAGATTATATGAGTGTATATGAGTGTATGATAATAGGACATGCGTATGCGAGTCTTTCGAGGAGTGAACATCGACCTCTGCTTTATAAAGAAATTTCATTATGTGTTTCACATTCGACTTTATTAAGAGAATTGAGTAACGTCCAAATTAGTTATTCAGTGTTGTTTGTTTTAGGCTTAGTCTTGTAAGGTTGTCTGACATGGGCGTAGTAAAGACACGCAAATGATTATACAGTTATCAACATTATCGATCTAAACCACTTTTATTGAATGCAATAAAGATTGCAGCCAAGTCTTCCACTTGCAAGTTGACATTATTACTAGCTTTCCAATATTTTATGTAGAAAATATAAATAATGGAATTACGTGCAATGTATAATTGTATTCTATAAGTTACTATTTATTCAAAGGCTTTGTATCGAGCGAATCTTTCAGTACGCTGTTGATAATCTTATATTATACAGAGATTATATGCGAAACGCATTCATTTGTATTTATTATTGCATTCTTTGAATAATTTTCCTTTTGCTATATGCAGCTATCACATGACGATATCAAAGTGTGAAAATAATACAGAGACACCTCCATAAGTGCACCATCCATAAATGCACCTCCCTATATGCACGCTGTAGCTCGGTCCCAAGCTTGGGACTTAGAGCTAAGTGCACACCCTCCATGTTCTACCCAGATATATTTGTATCTCCATAAGTGCATTTAAAAAAGGTCAACCAATTAACCGTCGTGATTTCAATGCAATAGTGACATTAGTTTACTTATTAGTACTAGTAAAATATACTTGTGCTTACAAAACTGTAAATACATTTACACAAGATATTTACTAAAATAGTAAAAATCTAAAATCAATATCTGTAAGTAAAATTTGTTAACGAGTGTTCGAGTGCTATTATTAATTAGTGGGCTACATTTACACTATTAAACTTAATCATATGGTAGCCGATAAATTTCAGGACTTTTTTTATAGTTTCTCAAACATTCTTTAAAATCTTTGTTCTTTTTTCAAATATTTAACCACATTTTCCAAATTAAGCGATCGTAAATAGTTGCTGAAAAGAATATTATTTATGGACAACGACCACGAACTTGTATATCTCTTTAAGGATACTGATCAAGCAATTACGGATGTAGACGACATAGATGATAGTGAGGAAAGTCCTGTTATTAGCGCTACAGCAATCAATAGTACATGCCTTTCTTTTACAACAGGACAATATATACCTCTTTACAAAATATTGAGGCATCAAATTAACATTATTCTTAAAGTGTAGTCTGACTTCGACGTGATAGTATAATTTTAATAATAAGATAATAAAGAGAAAGTACTAGTCACTATTATGTGTAACAGTTTTCTGGTTTTTTATTCGTTTTCTATAAGTGCACCCTCCCTAAATGCACGCAAATGTCAAGTCCTAATATCATTAAATTGATTGGTTACAACTTTTTATATTAATATTATGTTTGTTATTAATGCGTCTGTCCAAGAAAATTTACACTGTCAGTTATCATAATATAATTTCTTCTTGATGCTTTTACATGAAAGATAAACGTAAAATTGTGTTCAATCCCGGTATGGTGTAGGACATTTATAGCCCGAAATAAAATACCCAACTTTCAAAACCCTAAGACTTTTTATATTAGAGGGTTTAGAGAAAAGCTAATCTGTAAGAATGATAGAGCAGACGAAGTAGAACAAAAGTTATGGTTTAAAATTTTTAATCAACTAAAAAAGTTTCGAGTTTAGGCATTTGAAAAGCAACAGTTTTTCTTAAGTTTCTTAACATGCAACTTTTTGTGTAACATTTCCATTATCCAATAAAGCGATAAGTTTAGCATTTATTGTTCTCGTGTTATTGTTGGTAACATTCTTTATCGTTTTACTATGCCTTGACCTGCTAAAAGAAAAGCTGCACATAAACAAGTGTCTCAAGAATAATTGTAATTATACATGGAGCGGATTACAAGAAACAGTTCCTCGTGCTCTTGATTCCGTTGATTTAATAACAATTCGTAGATTTGCGCGAAAAACGTGGCGATATATGGATTTGTA